GCACACAGTAATAAATATGTTGTATAAAAACGAACAATAAACTTATGGTTTTCAACAGTTAATGGAACAAAGATCAAATTGTCAAATTTGCAACGTGGACAACCTCATTGAGACTGACTACTATACATAAGAACAATTGTTCAGTAGTTTGATAATAAAAATAAAAAGATTTTGAAAAAAATGTTCTTTTACAATAGAAATTTTGGTCAACTTTAAAAAAAGATAATATATTATCAGGAAATTACGTTGGTAGACTCCTCCTGAAGCTCCTCTGGGGCTAGTGCCAGTCCCAAGCCCGGATAAATGAGAAGGGTTGAGCTTGGGGTTAGCGACTCCATCCCATAGAAAAAACTAACTCGCTAAAAAAACGCTAACCAGAAAACATAATTCAAACCATTTCAACTCTACACTGGGAGTTAGAAGGTTATGATGTCTCATGATGTAAGTCGTGTACCTTCGTAAGTCACGAGGCCAATGCCCCTTTCTGACAACCAGAACAACCATTATTTTAGGTACATAAAATGTCAAACTGATAAATTCAAAGACATATTAGTCATTGGTATGAAAAAGAAATAACAAATGTTGGTTGTTTAAATAAATAAACCTTTCATATACATGATTTGTTTTTTTTAAGTGTTTAAAAAAATCATTATTTTTTTAAAAAATAATCTAAAAATTCGAAATAAATGTACGGGTGGTAGGTAATATTGACTAAATTCTAAATCATGTTACAAATTATTTTTTACAAAAAAAATATTATTTATTTCTATTATTTTTTTTTCAATATTTAATCAGATCATATCTTTTGAGATTGTACTTTTAAACTGATCAAAACTCACTCACTGTTAAATTTAAAAATTCAGCTAATTAGATTTATAATGATTTAATATGATAAAGTTACATGTTTGTTGTTTAGATTTCGACTAAAAAGTATGAGCTAATATTTGACGTCAAAACTAAAGGCCCTTGGTTCGAGAAACTTGTGAGTTACAGGAGTCGTAGATGTCAGGTTAATCAGCAATCATCAAACAGATCGATATTGAACCAATTTATCAACAAAGCAGAAAATTAATAGGTGACACAAGATTAAGAAACATATTAAAAAAGGGATACAATCAAACTAAAGGTTCAAACAACGACAGGTTTAAGGTCAATAGCGACCAATCAAGATTGAGGTTGACAGAACAAGCTACGGGTCATAATACTACGTGGAGAAATTCGAATACTGCACTTCTATCTGAAGTTTGTACTGATGTAGATGTTGCTCAGCAGAAGAACAATGAAACGTTCCACACAACCAAAACATCCAGTTCAGAGAACCAAAAACCACCACAGTCATGGATGTGCACTGCTATCGATGAGTCTCATACTAGGACGAAACAGCCGTTAAGTGCTTCCAGATTGCTCATGGGGATCTAACATTGATTGATTCATAATTTTGAAAATTTACAATCACTAGTTTCATATGAAACACTTTTCAATGATAAACAAATTGAGATAATTTAATTCATTTCAGGGAATATTTTTTAGGAATATCTTGTATGATCCATTTTTTGAAGGCTTTGTTTGTGAAAATCCTTCCATGTATACTTTTGTAATTTGTTCTTATTGATTCATTCAGTAGGACATTTTGTTAATCTGTTCGATTCCATTTGAAATGATAATATGTGTATTTAATTATAGTTTCTAATTCTTGTGCCTTTGCTGAGATTCTATGTGTTTCTTTCTGAACTGCATTTATGTTGTTTAAGCTGATATTTAGTCAAGGCGACAGCCATATTGATTTGTTCCTCTTTTGATTGAGTTGCATGTATTGACTTGAATTGTGCATTTGGATTGTGAATTGAAGCACTCCTTCAGAATAAGATACACTCTGTCTTATAAAGCAACCAAATATCATCTTTCAAACGAATCTGATCTATCCAGGAGAGATAGAATATCAGTTACAGGTTGCTGTTGATTAGATTAGTTGAACAATTGTTGGTGGGATAACTGGGATAACCCAAATCACTTGTTTTGATTTCAACTGGTCAAGACGCGTATCTAAACCACCTAGATAGTTATTCCTCAGTCCAAACTTCAGTTTGGAAACTACATATCGTCCAACTATTCAATTACAATGAGTTATTTATCAATCAAAGAAAAATGATTGACTGGACAGTAAGTTTATGATAATTCTAATAACCATTAAACATATTATGACAACTGGAAATAAAAAATAAATATAGTTGAATCGAATAAAAATTACTAATTTCCTAGTATGTAAAGCGGACAACCAAGTAAGCAATGCTGTCGTCAGGTAGGGGTGGCAAATCATTAGATGAACTATTGAAACTTCGTCCGTTGAGGTGGTTGGGTCATGCGTTACGAACGTTCGACCACCGTCTACCACGAAGAGCAATGTTTTGTGGTGTAGGAATGGGCTGGAAGAATGCTAGGGGCGGCAAAATTAAAAACATGACACAAATCCATGAAATCACTGACAAGTGGACTGAGTCATGTTGGTAGATGTAGGCTACCTGGTTGGGGTCCTCGAGACGAAAGTCACCAATGGTTAGAGACCTTGAACGACATGGATCAAAACCGTTTGCAATGGCACAGGTGCATCCACTCTTTATGTTTTCTGAAATTCTAATCTCCTGAATTCCTCATCATCTGTACCTTTCTCTTGCTAAATTTGTCTCACTGAATTATACTTCTCGAATCATATCTTCGAATCCTAATCCTCTTCATTAATGCTAATACTTCTACTATCTCAACCGCTATGGGATCTGAACTGACAGTTGCATCTCTGTGTTGATGTGGTTTGGCAACCTGAATTGAAGTACTTACGTACAAAGTTTTGTCTATCTATCTATATCTCTAGTCTGTTAAGCACTTCTTTTCTCTCATTGATATCAATAAAAAATTAGGTCATTCTCATAGTGCCTCTCATTAATCAATCAGTCAAGCGTAAACGGGAGAAATTACACGGTCTTAACTATCCTTACAAAATGATCAATACTATGTCAGTTAAATAAAAAAATATCTATAAAATATGCAATTGAAATAAACATACAGCATAGATTTGTCATTCATCTTATACTTTGTAAGGTATTTCCCAGGTTTGTTTATTTATTTTTTTTTTCTGGACCAAATATTTTAAAGTAAATATTCAGATTCAGAAGAAGATGGTTGTCATTTTTACTCTGTTAACGAGGTATTTACATACAGTTTGATTTATTTAAAAGATTCCGCTTATCTAGGAGATGTGATTTAAACTTTCGAAATTATATTTGGTCATTGATACATTGAACTGTTTGTCTAAAGTAAGTCTTAAAATGTCTTATTCAATGCTTTAAAAATTGTAGATAGATAATGCTGTGGTGTAATTAACCCGCGTTCATACGAATATTATCTGAACTAACAAAACAGTTCCATTTTATCATTGAGTAAGATTGAAAAATGATTCACTGAAGGAAATTTTATTTGTGCGTCAGCTGTATTTATAGTTAGTTTAATTGCTAAAAGGTAATTTTAACGATTCCCTATCGCGAGCATTAGAACAACACCTATAGGTGACACCTATATTATTTTCATTTAGATTGTTATCAGGCTTTACTCACTCTCTATGAAAATGTTCGACCAATCAAGGCAATCTATTATGTCACAATGATCACATTGAAATATAAATTACGTAACTACATATAGTAGGAGAAAAAGTACATCATGGGTATTTAGAACAATTACCAATTAGATCGTCATCAGGCTATACTCTCTAATCAAATCTAACAATGACTGATTATAGATACATCAGTTTAAGTTGCCATACCACATTAACCCAGACAGATGCAATTGTCGATTCAAACATAGCAGAAGTATTAAAAGTAATCGAAGGCATTAAGGTTCGAAGATATTATTCAATTAGTATTATCTAGCGAAATAAATTTGAGAAGAGAAAGATAAAAGTGATGAAGAATTTGGAAGATAAGAATTTGAGAGAAAAAGACCTTAGCTGCTATCTTGACGTGATAGTCTGGTTTACCTATCTTGATGACCCAACTCAGCTCTATTGGCTGGGACATATGTTTCTGTAGGTCCTACCATGCCAGGCAGGTCGCTTCGATAACGGTGAGACCAAAAGTAGTGACTCAATGTCTCAAGGCGAGGTCGTACTGCTGACTGAAAAGAGGTGTGACTGCAGTAAGATGTTTTCCTCGAACAAACAGCATTTGCAGCGATCCTGCTTTCACTCAAGGATAGAGGGGGTTAAAAAAGGTCGACCCGAAAATTGTCACATCTCACCTTAGCCTACTAATTTCCAACTCTGGTGGTGAGGCCATTTGAATATCAGAGCTAACACGTCAATAAGTAATTAAGATCAACAATTATCTAAATACCTTTTCAAATTCCTCAAGAAACTCTCTTCCATGGTGTGGGCACCTAGGAAGTGACACTCGCTCTCATGCTCGTAACTAAACATGAGACCAAATCGGTGTTAGGGACGTTAGATCCTCAGAACTCGCTTGATAAATGGGATTTCACGTTTGCGAGCATAGGCTGATCAGTTGATCTTGAGATTTCATTTCACACCAGGAAAATCCTTGTCTGTGATTGGTTACTGCGTTATTTTAGTGTGCTATTTTCGTGACTCTCCCAAGGAAGTTTCGATGATGTCTGCTTTCTCGCATTGTGCTCGCTGGGTGTTCGTAGAATAATATACTTTCTAAGCTTATCAAGACTTCTGTTTTGCTGTTTCGAATCAAGTGTAGCCTACGTGGACGCGAGTTGATTCTCTCGTTCGCGTTTATCGACTAAGGTGAACCCGTAATAGTTTCAAACATACCTAGTGATGAACACAACCATTGATCAGAACCAAATCCTTTAACCTGCATGACCAAACCATCTCAGTAATTAAAATAATTACAATGAAATCCATTCACAAAATTAATCAAACTCATTGATAATGATCAACTACTAACAATGAAACAATTAAACAATCAATCAATCAATTAACTCACATGAGTTTTTATACCTGATTGAATATACAATCGTGTTCTTGGTCTTGAATCAATTAATCTAATTTCTGGTTTTAAATTAATCAAATTTTCATCATTCATTTTGACTTGCTGTTGGTGTTGATGTTGTCTGTTGATATTTTTCATTTGATTTTTATGTTTATTTTTAATTGAACGAAATGAATGTGTTTTAAATGGATAAATAATTTGTTTGTTTTGTATCAATGCACTGCAATTATTATGATTATTATTAAGATTATTATGATTATCATTATCTTTGTTTAAATTGTTGTGAAGATTGACAGTGGATTGTTTATGATTCAAAAATGTAATCGACTTTGCAGTAATTTTATTCGTTTTATTGATTTCAATTTGTTGTTGTTCAGTGTTTGATAAATTATCTCTTGGATGAGTATTGGATAGTTGATTGCACGAATTCTAAAGAAAGAAAAAACATTTTGAAAGAAAATTTCTTTACATTAGAGATTTATATATATTTATATATATATACCAATATTTAACGATATCTTTGATGGTGAACTAATATGACTAAACGTTTGAGTGCAAGCGAGAGATAGAGAGTGAGAAAATTTGTAGCTCAGGTGGATGAGATTTGTTCTCTGAGCTGGATGTTTTTTAGTTTGTGGAGCCATTCATTGTTCTTCTGCTGAACAACATTACTGCAACATCAGCAAGTAAAGAAATTTGAATTTTTCACATCTTTGTTTGTAGTTTGTGCTAACAATGATGTTGTTCAGTAGAAGAACAATGAAAGCTACATCAGTCAAAATATTCAGTTCAGTGAATGAAACTTCAGCACACAGAGAGAGAAAAACAAACTTTACCATGCTTGAAAAAAATATAAAATCGAGTTAATTTTGACTATTATAGGTTAGACTACATATATTGTATTTACTGATTTACACAATCTTCACATAACCTATTCACTATTCCGTTGATTTAATTTGGTTAAAAACTTCTATTAAGAAGTCGACTCTATAGTGTGGTGCTGTGGTGCGAGCTACTTATAAGTAGTATATGACGTGAGTGTCAACGTAATGTCTGGCAGCAGAAGATAGGGGAAGATCAAGAAAGGAAGAGTTAGAAGAACACAATGGAATTTGTATGAAACGCATGAACAGTGAGTGACAATGGATTGATGTTTTGCAACAGGAACAGTCCAGTTCGATAATACGATGGACTGATATTTTGCAAATTAATGATTTACGATATGGTTTTCCTATTTTACTGAGTAACTCTGTAATTTTCGTTAAATACAATTTGGTTGCCCCACCTGTGTTCCCTTTGACTACAATAGAATGGAGATAGTGTAAAATAAAATCACATAACGATCATTTGAATACAAAATCAAAATAGAATCAGTTCATTTTCTGTATATATCCACAGAGATTTGTGTCAATTTACATGTAATAACATGATAAAACAAATTCGTGTAGGTTTTGGGATGATTCAGTTGTTAGATTTTTTTTTCTGGCCTCTAGTTTTAGAACTTAGTTTTTGAGTAAATTACGAAAGATTCTCAACCAGGTCTTTGTAATAGATTCCATCACCTTGACTCGTTCATACATATTTCTTTCTGTAGGATATCAGTATTTTTGAGACGTAGGATTTAGAAAATATATTTAAAACAAAATTTTGATAAAATATGAGTTTCATTAAAAAATTTTATGATATTTATTCTTTGTATTCTTCTGAATTCTTCATTACCTCTGTCTTCCTCTTTTTAAATTTATTTCACTGGCTTATACTTCCCGAATGATATCTTCGGTCTCTATTCCTTTTGATTATCGCTAATATTTCTCCTGTGGTGCGCGCTACTTATAAGTAGTATATGACGCGAGTAAAACCGTAATGTCTGGCAGCAGAGGTTGGGGGAAGATCAAGAAAGGAAGAGTGGGAACACAATGAGATTTGTATGAAACGCATGAATAAGTGAAATGTCAGACAATGGATTGATGTTTGCAACAGGAACAGTCCAGTTCGATATGATGGATTGATATTTTGCAAATTGACGATTTGCGATATGGTTTTCCGATTTTACCAATTAACTTTGTAATTTGAGATAAATACAATTCGGTTGCCCTCACCTGTGTTCTCCTTCACTACACTCCTACCTCTACTACTATGGGATTCAGATTGACAATTCGATCTATGTGTGCTAATGTGGTATGACAACTTGAACTGATGTACGTAAGTACGAAGTTCTACGTTGTTACTGACTTACTGATACATAAAAGTAGAATAACGACATAAGTAGTAGTAGTATTAATAAAAATAACTCCCACCAACAACTTTCTGAGGATATGCAGACTACTCTTAGACAAATTTGGATGCCTTTGTTCACTAACCTGCCAGGACTACACGGAATATATTATGAACAACACAGCACTACTGTGTTTACCGTTTTGTCCTAAACTGCCATCAGTTTGAATAAACCAAACTAAAAAAACATATCGCTTTGATTTAATTAAACACGGTTAATTTTATCTTGCTGTCTACCTACATCGTAAATGATTTATAACATAATTATATATATACTATAGTTAATATAACACTCAAATCAGTTATAACATTGAAAATGAAATAGAATTTAGTCTTGAAATGGATTTGATTAACTGGAGCACAATGAAACCCAAAACATTACAAGTAAGAAATTATTGGATATATATATATATATATATATATATGTCTTTGATGAAATGTCAACGGTAAACACAATATATTCAATTAGCTTTATGGAGATTAGTAATTTTACACATTGAAATCACTGTGCTCACTACAATATACACAAGGTTTAGAAAACTCATACTTACACCGAATCAATTAAATAAAATATTCTAACACGTATATCGTATTATTCAACAACTGATTTTCATAAAAGTATACATCGGGTTAGTAAGAAAACACGGAATTAAATAAAAAAAACACAGCAATCATCATCACAACTCATGATTTCTACAACTCTCTACTAGATATCAAGTCAGCATTATAAGTTACTACATGTTGTATATGTTCAAGTAAGAAATTATATCTAAGAAAAAGAAATATCGTTTTTTACTTAAACGTAAATACTACTTATAGGCAAAAATTTACAAAATCAAATGAATTCATTTAAAATTATTAGTTATTATTATGATTATTATAATATAAATCAACAATTAAGTATGACAAATTCTTGTCAATTTTATATCTTCTCTCTATTCCAAGTGTGTGTGTGTGTAACATTCCTTCCTTACTTTCGAAATCTAGGATAATTTACTACAACACTCTTGTATGACAGTGTACTAGTGTTTTATTTACAAATAGGTATGATAGTGGCCTGGTTATCAAAAAAAAAACAAAAACAAATTACAGTTTATGAAACCTTTACATATAAATAAATATAATGCACATGAGTGTATAAACAATCATACAAATTACTGAACTAAGTTTATTTCAAGTGCCATTTTTTTTTAGCCGATCGAAATCAAAGTTACTTGAAGAAGCTTTTTGCTTTTGAAGCAAATTGTTGATCGATTGTGGAACGATTATAATAAGTGACCAGTTTACTGTATGTAGTCAGTCAGTCAATAATTTATATTATTATTCATCAATAGTCATGAATTAATCTAGTTTGAATCGACTAGTTAGTTATATAATATTTGTAGTCTGTTGAAGAAATTTTGAAAAAAACTAACGTCATAAACATTTTGTTTCTGTCTTATTTCTTCAAAATATCTCTCTGGTTTTCACAGTTCAAAGAAAAAAAATTGTATAAATTCTAACATGTCATAGTTGTCAACTTTCTCGCCCACTCACCTCTTATCGACTACGTATTGTCTTAGCTCTCTATTCGCCTGACTATATAATTTTAGGCCTTGTGTGGGAAGTTAATGTAGCGAGGTGATTATATTACGGCTGAAAAACAAACAAGTAATTACTCCTGAATGTACAAGTACCCTAGAGCCATCCGTAGACATCTAGATACCTCGAATGCTTGAGAACCTCCGCATAGAAGACAACATTAACAGATTATCTATCAGAAAGTTAATCATGGTAAACAGTATCATGAATATCAAAATATTCATCGCATTCGCTTGTATATGTATCAGGTTCATCATGGTTATCGACTTCAAAAATGAAAAAAACGGGAATTTAAAAACACGGCACTTCAGCTGTATTAATCATTCCATCTACTCTATACACTATGTTCTGATAATTTTGTTGGCGAATAGTTTTTCAACTTCATTTATCTCTAATATTTACTGTTCTCATTGTCTGAACTATCTGGATAATAGTTTACTATTTTAATTAAATTTAACTATAAACACAATGGCACAGATTATGCAAATAAAACATCACCGAAACGAAAGTTTTCTTCGCTAGATTGCTTTTAATTTATTCAGTGATACAATAAATCTGTTTCATTGCTGAAATAAATGTTTGTTGAAACTTTGCATTCGAGTATTATGAAGGTCATTGTTTAACATCAAGATCATGGATGAGTCATTGTTAGACCATCATTAGGAACCTGGAAGCACTGGAAGGTCGTTTTTTCCTGGTGTGGAACTCATCAATACAGTGTGCATCCACGACTCCAGCCACTGATTCATTCATGATTTCAATGTAGACTTACTTACTTTCGCCTGTTACCACCAATGGAGCATAGGCCGTCCACCAGTTTTCTCCAACCAACTCTATCCTGGGCTTCCCTTTCCAGTTCTGTCCAATGTTTGTTCATTCCTCTCATATCTTTCTCTATTTCTCGGTGTAATGTGTTCCTTGGCCTTCCTCTTTTCCTTTTGCCTTGAGGGTTCCATGTGAGGGCTTGTCTTGTGACATAGTTAGGTGCTTTTCGTAATGTGTGTCTTATCCACTTCCACCACTTCTAACTGATTTCCTCATCCACTGGAATCTGGTTTGTTTTCTCCCACTGTAGGTTGTGGCTGATAGTGTCTGGCCAACGAATACGAAGTATTTTGCGTAGGCAGCTGTTAATAAATACTTGTATCTTGTGGATGATGGCTTTCGTAGTTCTCCAAGTTTGCGCTCCAATTTCAATGTATAACAACGATCTAAATGATACTCTAGAGTGAAAATCAAAAACTTTGTACAATAGCAACTAGCTTTGTGAAGGAATTTTATGAGTTTTAGTGAGGAGACATCACTATTGGAATTCAACGCTGTCGAGTGTATGCAGTAGCTAAAGAAGACAACGGGTGAGATATTGCAAAAACCTTAAACTGCTCAAAGCTAGACATTAACACCGTTGGATGCCGTTTCAGTGGTCCGATGGTTAAGCCTTCGCGCGCAAGCCTGAAGGTACTAGGTTCGATCCCTGCGAGTAGCAGTGTTCATGGATGGGCACTGCAGATGTGTCTCAAACCAGGACGAAACGGCCGTCTAGTGCTTCCAGGTTACTAATGGTGTTCTAAAAA